ACTTCTTATTTTGGACATACTTCCAAGACGTAGCCTATCTGTAATTCCGAAGTACAGCGAATATCCACACTGGTGCGCTCACTAACAGCCCACCTACACCGCAAAACATTAGATTAATCCGCACTGAGGAGCCGTGCCGATGCACAACTCACATAAAGAAGATAATTCCGCAAATAACTGCAATTGCAGGTTTCAAACAGAGATGCGACAAAGAGCCAAAACTTACGGAATGCAGCTTTAAAATGTGTAATAGATTGTTACTAACTGCAATTTTCAGCATGTAATCTGTATTCAATAATCTACTACAATATGTAAATAATCTACCCAGCACTGACTGCATGATGCCCAGTTTTCTCTGTATCTATTTACAAAGTCGGCAAATGCTCTGTATGATGCCTAGTGTGTTAAATCTGTTCAGATTTGGAAAGTCGTGTAGTTTATTCCAGCCCGTAGAGGCTGAAACCTTCCCACACGGACACGACTCAAATCACATCTCCAGTAATGAGTCGGCTCTGGCTGGCATGGAAAGCAATCGCTCACACCGGCCGGACAGACAGACATTCCTGATTTCAGCCCTGACAGAAGCCAGCTGGGATGGGAGGAGAGGCTCAGAGGATTATTATCCCAGCGGAGGGGGAGTCATGCTGGACGAGTCCGCCGTAATCACTCCTGGACGCTTGGTACTGAGAGGTGGAAGACGTAACAAACTAGGAAGCTAGAAAGAGAGAAGTAGATAGGGACTGAGAGGAAGAAATCTCTGGACGTCTGCACTGGGAACGGTCACCTGTGTGTCAGTCTCCGGCTGGACGTTTGGCAGGATGAGAGGACTAATAGTGAGAGTGATTTGCAGCGGGCTGCTTCTCCTGACAGGTAAAGCGTCGGGGCTTTCTGGAGGATTTCTGTATTAATGGTGAATTAACCTGCGGAGAGCTCGCAATTCTGCTGTTTTAAGAATGACATTGGAAATGAAGAGTGTGGTTCTCCTGTGATTTATTAGAAATATTATATACTGTAGAATGTGTGCATGGTTTTTCAGGTTTTGTTAACCACATAGTTCCAAAAGTACTGTAATAAATTATTTTATGGCTCACTATTTTTTTGTACAAAACATGACGTGAGATAAGAAGTCTTAAAAAAAAAAAAAAAAAACAAGCTATGAAAATGAAGTGAGTTTTCATGAAATAAAAAAATATATTTGCCAGTGGGGTATAAACTTGTTTTCCCTTTAAATTGAGTTTATTTTTCTTGTTTTAAGCATAAAATTTTGATACATTCTAATAAATCAGAAAACAGGACTTCTTATTTTATGTCATTTTGCATCTCAAGTAAATATATCTTGATTTAAGAATTTAGATGCTTGTACTGGACAGTGTTATTTTAGTATCACTGAAATTTTTTTATTAATATTTTGATAATTTTTATATTTTCTGTTACATTTTAATTTCAGTTAAAGTTTTTATTTTGTTGTGTTTTTGTCATTTTTATTAGTTTTTTAATATGTCTATTTAATTTTTTAAATTAGTTTTACATATTAGTTTTAGTTAATTCAGTTTAGTTATTTTAGCACTTCAACGTAAACTAAATGAAAATGAGAAATGATGCCTTGGCATCTAGCTGAAATAAAAGTTTTAGTTTTTTATATTTTAGTTTTAGTTTTAGTTAACAATATATTTTATTTTAACATTTAAATTTAATTTAACATTATTTCAGTTTTAGTTACTTTAGTACATCAAGTTAATCTAAGTGAAAATGAAAAATGTTGTAATTGATATTCCTAAAATTATTACTGTAAAATCACTTTATTCACTAATAGATTAAAATCTATTTAAATCACTTTATTCTATTTTCTTTTAGGTTGATCGGTAACACTTTACAATAAGGTTAATTAGTTTAACTACTTTAGTTAACATGAACTAAGCATGAACAAAACTTCTACAGCATTTATTAATCTTAGTTCATATTAATTTCAACATTTACTAATGCATTATTAAAATCAAAAGTTGTGCTTGTTAACATTAGTTAATGCACTGAATTAACATGAACTAACAATAAAAAACTGTATTTTCATTAACATTAACAAAGATTAATAAATAGCCTACTGTAATAAATGTGTTGTTCATTGTACATGTTAGTTAATACATTAACTAACATTAACTAATGGAACCTTATTGTAAAGTGTTACTGATTGATCTTATATAGTCAACTCTTAAATCATGATTTCGTATCATAAACGATTAATTGCCAAAAACTAGATTTTTGTAGAAATATCAGCATTAAATTCCCTTTCTAATAATCACCTTTTAAATTCATGACCTTCAGCACAAGGCTTGTAATGACTAAATTAACTATATAACTATTAACAATGTTACTTTTTTAATGTAGCTGATGGCACAATTAGTTTAGTAACATAAAGGTGTTATTTTCTGATATAATGTATATAAATGAAATGTGCTTTTAAAAATCACATTTTTGAATGGAAAAGGCACTTATTTCATATAATAACCCAGTTTCTGCAGGCTCCACAGAAGAAAACCAGATCAAATCACATATAAAGGCTAATAGTTAAAAGTTAGAACATGAACATAAATGTATAAACATACATAAGTATATATGATATAAAATGCATAAGTATATATTCAATATTATGTGTGCAAAATGGACTACAATATAGACTCAGTAATATCACGTTAAGCATGCTGAATGATAAACTACAAAATTCCTATTGAGAATGTGGTAGAAATAATCCTCCTGAATTATTGAAAATTGCAATAACGTTCAAAGGGGCTTTCAATGTCTGGGTGCTTAACGTCATAAGTATTGGTAAATGCAGATTAACCCATTTAATCGAATTTGTGAACAAAATTTATGTTGGAGTTTGCAGGGCCTTAAAAGAGTTGTTGTTGCGTTATAGAGTTATCAACTACTGATGAAAGTGCAGGTTTTCTGGAATTTATGTGAACATGATTTTATCATTCCCCTTTTCACCACAACTGATTAGTAGGGGAAAAAATGAAATTTTGTTACTTTATTGTTTGCAGTTGCAGTTTCTCACACTTAGCTTGGGAAATTTTGGGATTAAAGGGTTTAAAATCGGCATACTCTACATGGCTAGTTATGCAAGAGTTGAAATAAACTTAGTGGCTGGCTTTTCTAATAATTTCTTGCTTTTCAGAAGCTCCAGAGACATGGATTTTGGGATCGGACACATTTTTGTGGGAATGACTCCAGCCAAACTTGCATCTGATTCTTAATCAGTCTTCTGTTGTTGGATATAATGCCAGATTACTCAAGATGACGGAGTTGAATTATGCTTTCATAAGCGAAAACGGGAAGGAAGTGGATAAAACTTTGGACTGGAGTTACATAGACTGGCATAAAAAGAAAACGGTCAAAGGGACGGATGCACAGACCCAAACCCAATGCGTACAAAGTGAGGACAAAGACACACAAACAGCTAGTCCTTTCATAATGCGAATAGATTTAGGAAGGACGCCCTCCAGACTGAGGTATGGTTCCCTTACGGAGTCTGACAGCATGCCAGCACACTTATTTCAGTTTGATAGACAAGCCCCAGCCCGCATCTCCACGTCCCCCACTCTGAGGAGAATGAGGAGCACGAGAATCTCCTACCGAGATCCAAGCAAGTCGGATGGTCCTTTAGGAGAGGAGTCTCCCACTCCCACGAGTCCCCTTTCTCCATTATTCCGGCAGAAATCACCACTGGCGGTTCAGTCGGATGGAGAGAGCGGGAACTTTGAATCTTCAGTGATTCATGGGACAATTAGATCACACAGATCAAAGACCATTGACAATGGCGTCATTTGCAAAAGCAAAGAGTCTTGTGATTTAAAAGAGCCAGATTCTGATGATAATGAGAGCATCACCGATGACAATGACCAGGTATACAATGAGTTCGAGATGTCTTTAAAAATATAAAAAATGTTAAAAAATTAAAAATGTCTTTTCTAATATAGGTTTTGCATTTCTAACCCTAAAAATATATGAACAGTAATTATGACAGACTTCACAGAAACAATTTTTTACACAGCACTCTGGAATACTTGATTCTGATTGGTCAGTTGCGCTATAGCAAACTGATATTTTTATAATATTCCATGCTGTCCATGGCAAATGCAGCAGGCACCATCATCGGTATTATAGTATTATCATATTATCTGATTGTCTTTATTTAGCAGAAGGTTTAAGGTAATTTACATATCAAAAGAATAAATTATAAAATTACTTGAACTCAAATTAATATATTTAATGTCAACTTGTGTATTTGTAGTTTTAGTGCTTCAGCTTAAACTTCAGTTATTTAATTTAGTCAATTAGTTGCAAAGGCAACATTTCTCATTTTCATTTAGTTGAAGTTTTTATCTAATATTTATATTTTATTTTATTTAAGAATAAAATTGATTTCAATTAACAATTAGTTTTTTTTTAGTTTTAGTTTTAGTTAACAATATATTTTATTTTAACATTTAAATTTAATTTAACATTATTTCAGTTTTAGTTACTTTAGTACATCAAGTTAATCTAAGTGAAAATGAAAAATGTTGTAATATATATATATATATATATTAATATTTTTATTTGATTTCAGTTAATGTGCATTATATTTTAATGCTTTTTTAGCTTTTAGTACTGAGGAAGAAATTCACTTTTTTCACCTGTTTCTCTCTTTTGTGCGCACACGTCTGCTAGGTTTGGATTGCTCTGGTTTACTCTTGATTTCATTGTTGGTTTTAGTATAAACTTGTTTTTCCTCATGTGCATTATAAACGCATCAGCTAAATGACTAATGTAATTTAACAGTAGCACAGCTTTTTGCATTCTGCATAGCATGTGCTAGAATTGATTTATAGCACTTGAGCCCTTTTCATTGTTTCAAAGCAGCCTATCGGTTATCTTAGTTTCATGTTTAATATTGCCAAGGAATGCAAAATATATTGCAAGCAACCACTAGAAGCTTTTACAGTTTGCACTGGCAAAAACTGATTACAACTCTCAGGAACGGTTGCACAATAGCAGACTGTGTGTTTGACACCTGCTGTCATCCACAGTGATGGACTTTCTTGCTCAGCTGCATTTGCACATGTAGTGCATACATTTCTGTTTTGTTTAGTTTGGTCATATTTACTGGTGCAGTGGCATTTTTCACCGCAGTACTTAACAGTCGTCTCACAGACTAAACAGCAGTTAAGTTGAAGTAACAGTTGCAGCATATGCTGACATGCCAACCCCATTAGCAGGATTACATTACTAACTGATTAAAGACAAAGGATTAAAGTAAATGCAATTAAAACTCAATTAATTTCCTTTAGTTCACTGTTCTGTAAGTCATTGGCTCTGATGTATTAAGGTTGTCCTGTACGTTACAGTAGCTTCATAGGTTGATTTTTATGACTTTCTGCTTAAGATTTACTTTACGAAAACTGTATTTTCTTAAAGAGATTTTCTTGTTTGTTGTCCTTTTAAGGTGTGTATAGTATTAAAGTTGTCCTGTACGTTACAGTAGCTTCATAGGTTGATTTTTATGACTTTCTGCTTAAGATTTACTTTACGAAAACTGTATTTTCTTAAAGAGATTTTCTTGTTTGTTGTCCTTTTAAGGTGTGTA